GAGTGAAACCCTACCTATTATACCAATGATTATATTTCAGTAGTGGCTCATTATTAACAAAATAGCACAGAGACATCACAGTATATTTTTTAACAGTCATAAAGGCATTTTAGAAGATTTTTAATACAATATATAGAAGTAGAAACAGTATCAGGAAGTTCTGAGGAATGTGTGGTATCCTTTTAAGTGGGCCAGACATCACAATGGAGAGATATTTCTGGATTGTATTGCTTGAAACTGTATCCCACTTCATTCTAATATGGTGCCTGTGGTGTTTATTGTAATTTATTTTAATCTTGTAGTAATTTTTCGACTATTAAAAAAGGGGTAAAACTTTTGGAGAATAATGCTGAAACTCTAGTTTATCTAAGCAGAAATAATTCAAAGTGTATGTACTAAGGTACATTCCTGAAAGAATTCAAGTTACTATGTTGTTATGACAAATGATGGCACTGACTTCTGTACAATAGTCCTGGAGTTTTGCAAGGATAAGATATTTGTCAAGAGTATGGTTTTCAGCTGCTGCCTGCTTTTTTATTACTAGGACTTATCTCTTACAGATCAGTCATGAATAGTTTTCTGTTGCAAGTATATATAATAAACTGGTGTGAGCTTCTCATCTTTACCTTACTAACATTTTTTGTGTTTGTTTTGTTTTTGTTTTGGAAAAGCCATAGTTTCCATAATGTTGTTTAATTACTTTTAATTGTTTTAGTATTGTACGCCCTAATGCCCTTTACAAGAATAATTATTGTCTACATCCACTTGTCATTTCTCTCAGGTATTGCCTTGTTTAATAATGCAAAGTTGTCATTGCTTATTATTGGGAAGATTAAAATCAAAGGATGAGGAGATTGATTAATAAATCTCTGTAGCTTGAAAGATTGTTTCTTTTTATTGTGGGATGAAAAATAGATAACACAGCTCCTAAAGATAAGGGTCATGAAATTTACTTATTTGCTGCATTATATCATATTTTCCTCACGAGTTCTCAGTAGCACATTGATGGAGAGCAAGAGGGAAGTGAGAAGTGTGTTTGGCCTAAATACACTCACTGAGCATTTTGCTCAAGTTTGCAACTCCCTGTTCCCAGTACAGCACCTTAGCACTGCATTACATTGTTGATAAGGATAGAAGTACAGTATTTGATCCAATGCAGTTTGTTTATTGATTGATTGGATTTATGTGCTGGTCTGTTCTGAAAAGGCCTGCAAGTAACTAAGTATAAGATAAGGTTTTCAGTTAAATTGTCAAAATCATCTGATTGGAAAGCTTTTTTGATTGTTAGCCTTTTTTTCTGTTTTGGATCATTGTGGGGAGGGGGTTGCTCTAAATATGAAGCCTATTGTCTTTACATAATAGATTATTGGGATAATTCCAAAATAATGTATTCATTAGTACTGTTTGCATATGGGATAAGAACCTAAACATCACCAGATGTGGAATTTCAAAATGTGATTGGTTTGTATTATAGTTGAAACTTGCATTTGATTATTTGAAATGCATGAGTAGTTTAGAATGAATTTGATTTCATCTTTTTGTTATTAGTTAATAAGTCATCTGGGATTCTAGACAAAACATTGGTGGCAATCTCTCTATGCCTTGTCAGCATTTTCTGTTCTTGGCAAACATGCGGCAGCTATGGTGTGTCATTTTATATAACTTGTCGTTCTTCCTGAAATTTGATTGAAATCTGGAATTTATAGTTAAAGAATGTACATTTTACTTCATGATTAGAATACTTTATTTAATTCCATTCCTATTTTAGAGAAAAGTCTATAAATTTCCCTTCTTGCGGCTGCCAGGTGAACTCTGCAGTTAAATTTAAGAATTTTGCTAAACCCAAATGGATAATTTTTCAATAATTTTCTTGAGGCTGAAATCCTAAGAACTGAAAATCCCGATCTACTAAACCCTCTGTAGTAGCCTGTAGACCTGCTAAATTGCAGTTTTCTCAAGGGCACCAAGTTGGACAAGATTTTTTTAGGGCTATTCACTATCCATGTGAATGAGAGATTAATTTTGAAAGATTTGCTTCATAATTCTGAACTGCTGAGTTCTGAAATAAAGGTTTTGTTATTTAGATTATAAAGTAAACAATAAGTATGATAAAGAATCTTCTGCAATTTTAGGTCTAATGTAGTACAGTACTTTTTTGCTGGGACAATTGTATTCTTTGGGAATGATATTTAAAAGGTTTGTAGAGTTTGAAAAATAGCAGTGATTTGACTTTATATGGTTTGACTTTCTGCCTAACAATACCTGCTATTCTTAACTATGTGCTTATGAGCCATAGCACCCAATTTCTTTCATAAATTCATGGTCTATGTATTTTATATAGATCCTGAAAAATCACCTGCTGGTCTCAGAGTTAGATAAAAAAAATAGTTTTAGTTGTGGATTTAAAATGTATCTGAATTTTTTCTTCATTTGATCAGATTGTAAACAGAAGGCCTGAATGCTGTCATTTACCAGATAGAATGTAATTATGCTTGAAAGCTGTTGCTTCTTGAGTATGCTTTTCTGTGTGTGAATGTGCCCTTAGAGTACAATCTTAAATATATTCATAGCTATTGTACTTCTCTTGGAGGCGATTATATGTGAAGGGAGCATGATCCTTTGCTCAAACTTGAAGTTCAGGGAAGATAATTCAATATGTCTCAGTGCTTGATTTGCATATGTTTATATAGAAAGGGCTCTTTTTCAATATCAATAGAATTTCCTCATTGAAGCCATGATTAATCAAGTGGCATGGACTTAATTCAACTTGAACATACTGTATACCATACAATTAAAATCTTATATAAAAATAGGTAAAGTTAAATCTCTATATTACCTAGTTAATAAATCCATCATCCAACCATTATTGAATATATTATTAATGACAGATGTTTCTACAGAGCCAAGAATATCTACAAGAATTAATTTTAAGTTTATGTGAACATCTGCAGTTTTGGAATGGGACAATTGGCAGTTTTGGGTAGATAGTGCTTTGTCTTAGAAACTATGATCAAGCTTCTAATTATTTTTGGAGGGTTATTTTAATAGATCCTGAACAGAATACCCAAAATGTTATCTGAAAGAAATAGATTAGTATGACACATAGCATTGCTTGGGTAAAAATACTTATCAAAGTTATCTTGCAGTATGGTTTATCAGTGTGATACTTAACTTCAGTTAAATATCTGGACAAGAAAATGATAAACATAATATTCTGCCTGTAATGCCCAAATCAATATTAAGTCACTTGCAGATATTAGTCCCTTAAAATATTTGGCAAAGAATAAGAACGAATTTTAAATAGGAAAAACAAAACTATGTACCAAAGAACAGTTTCTATCAGAGTGAGATTTGAGTTATGTGATACTCTGGTGAAATATGGGAAAGTATCATAGCAAGAAAGAAATTGTGTAAGTATATTAACTGTGCACACCACCCGTAGTCACATGCAAGTGAGATGGGTAGCTATATATATTTAATAAATAATAACTGGAGTGTCAGACAAAAATATTGCACATATTCTCTTTCATTGCAAATGGCGTGCTTCATTAATAGTAAAATTACTACTTGACTGAATAGCCTATTGGGATACTGGCAATAGATTACCTTATTTCTTCCAGGGTGTAAACTTATGTTTACTTGTAGGTCTGCCAAATTTATAGTTAAAGCTGAGAATTCATTTTATTAAAGTGATTGAGTAGAATGCAAAGCTGATTATTGCATTTGAAGGCACTTCATTTTCTATCTTTGTATCTTTGCATTTTACTTGATATTTGTGTTTTGATACACTCAGTTGACTAGTAAGTGAACACAAATATAGGTGAAAACTGTGCATTGGCATGGGACTTGAAGCTATCAAAGTAATTTACTAATGGAATAAATATAGTGAGAAGTATTTTTGAGCTGTTTAACTTACTGTCCAGTTCAGGGTAATAGGATACATATGACAGGCCTATATTTATTGCTTCTTTGAGTCTCTCATTGAACATGTGGAATTATGTATTGTTGTTTGGTCATTGGATAGCTTTGTACTGAGTTCCACATTATTAAGTCATTCTGGCAATTAAAAAAAATGAAAAATATAATGCAAAAGCCAAAATATCTTCAAATCTCCCCTTAATTTTAATCTCCACTGATCAAATAATAAAACTGTACTCCTAATAAGAGTAGTAAAGTTATATAAATATGAGTGCCTCCTAATATTTCTTTCATCATATTCTAACATTGACATGCACAGTATATCAAATAAATTATTTCCCAGTTTACATTGTTGAAAATACATATCCTTTGAATGAATGTTTGAAAATCAATTCAAATATAATTTTTCCTCAAGCACAGATTAATGTGAATGCTTAATAGAATCCACTATGTTTTAGCCTTCCATGGTATTCATTACTATCCAAAAGGGAAAAGAATAGTTAAATTTACAAAATTTATCTGGGGATTCTGATTTTCATCCATTAAAAATGTTGTTGACTAGACTTTCTACACTGACTGCCGCTTACTTTTTATTTTGCAGCTGGTTGATATGGAATTGTCTGAGCAATGCTGTTTTTGAATACTTTTCAAGGACAATTCATCTGATAAAGGAAATTATAAGCTGTGATTTTCAACCTGCATATGGTTGTTTTAATTTACACTGTTATAGGTCTGCCGTACCAGACTGAAAAATGGGGTCATAGATTTATCATCTGAAACTATTTCTCAACATTTCTCAATTTTGGCTTTTAAACCTCAACAGGCAGAAGAAGTTCTTGGATCAATATTGCTAGTTTAACAGCATGATGCATCCGTAGATTCTCTTCTTTCTGTTCATATTTTTTCCTTTTGGCTCTTGGTGATTTGTATGTGTTTAGCAGACATTACTTCAGAAAATATTTTTTTCCACTGGCTTGCAAAGTGTTCTGCATTTGTTTCAGGTAAAAACATTTTCTGTTTTTTTTTTCTTCCTCAACCCCCCATTTCTTCTCTCTGGTTATTTCTATATGGAACTATTTTAGGTGAGAGGCAATCCTGAACCTCAGATCACATGGTACAGAAATGAGCACCTTGTCACAGGAGAGCGCTGTGTAGCAGATTGCAGCATCCGAGGAATTTTCAGTTTGATAATTAAAGGGGTAAAGGAGGAAGATGGTGGTCTGTATATGTGTCAGGCCAGAAATGCTGGTGGGATTCGCCAGGTGACTGTGGAATTGACAGTGGAAGGTAAGAATGTTAGCAGTCTAGCACAAATTCCAGTCCAGAAGCTCTTTTTTCTGTGCAATGCCCCTTGTTCCATCCCAAATTTATTTTTCCTGATTGCAAAAGCAAATGTGGAAAATAAAGGACAAAATGCCAGTTGGCTACCATTTTTTTAATGCCCTGGCTAACTCAATGGAAGAAAGGAGCACAGCAATTGAAAATACCCAAGCTGAAATGTGTACTTGCTGCAGAGAGTTTGAGAGACAAGGCCTTCAGCCATAAAACACTCTGAGGATGAGTCTGTGCCTGTTACCATTTGTTTTTCTACATTGTAGTAAGAATGATCTCACCAATATAAATTAGGAACAATAAACCTGTGATTTCAGAAAACTACTACCCCTCACGATTGGCTGCAGTGTCTTGAGCTATTGGGACCTTTAGATTTTCTATATCGGGAAAGCTATAGGTTACCCCATCCTAATCTAGAGATAACACTTTTGAACCTATTGCATTTGACAGTTTGAAGGCTTTAAAAGGAAACTGAATTAATTCACGGAGGACAAGTCAACTGAATACCATCTATCCTAAATACACAATCTTCCCTCCAAGATTTGAAGAAGCATGCCTCCAAAGACCAGTTGTCCCAAGAGATGTCAGTGTCTCCTGCTTCTGAGCATCCACAGGCATTTGACTGGGAGCAAAATGCTGAGTTGAGGTATGCCTAAAGCAGGGGTGTCAAACTGCCGGCCCGCAGGCCGGTTTCATCATACCGGAGCCATGCCCACCCCATTGCCGGCAATGGCAAAAAAGCTCCGATATGTTGCACGACGTCACGTGACGTCGTGAGTTTGACATGTCTGGCCTAAGGTCTACCTTAACCTGATCCAGCAGGGCTATTCTTATGTAGAATTCTCATCTATAGGATATCAAGTGGGAAGACTACTTTGGTATTTCAAAGCAGGTTAACCTAGGTAATTTATAACAATTACTTTTAAGCCGGGGTCTTCAAGTTTTGCCTTTTTATGACTCGTGGATTTCAACTCCCAGAATTCCTCAGCCAGCAAGTTTGAAGACCCCTGCTTTTAAGGATAGAACACTGTTTTCCTCTTATTGCTTGCCTAAGCATCTCTAGAAGAAATCCATAATATATAGGGAAAATTTGATCTGAGGACATTTTGATTCAAATGTCAGACTTAACCACTATGATTGTTTGTTGAGATAAGCATAAATTATTATTTACAAACATTTGCATTACATTTTATTAATGTTTTTCAATCTTTTATGCTGTCTCCCATATTTTGCAGACACCAACTGTATTTACCTAAAGTTCATAAAGTTCACTTGCTCACAACCAGTAGATGGTGCTGCATACTCACAACATAGTACCTTCCATCCTGACATCTGACTTGAAACAGTTTCTTAAAAGTTTTGGTTGTGATGTTTCAGCATAAGAATGTATTATGGAAATATCTTAAATACATTAAGGTAATAGATGCAGGCAGGTGAACCAAATATGTCTTCAGGCTTGGAATTAAATAAACACTTCTTACTGAAGTCTTATGAGCAGTTTTTGAAATAGCAAAAAACAAGCAGTTCTATTTGTATGTGTGGTCAAATGAGATAAAACCACATTTTCAGTAGATGTTTCTTATTTGGGTGCATAAGGCTGTAGCTTGGGCTGCTTCTCAAAGCACTTCACAGCAAACATCTGCCCTGCAATTACTCCACCTCTGTTGTAAGCTACAAGTAAGGAAAACTTGATTATATGTGTTTTTCAGGTGGAGAATGGGCAAATGGAGAAGCAAATAATGTAATTTTTTTTAAAAAAAGAATGGGCAAATATGTTGTTACAATATATAGAGATAGAAAAATCCATAAATTCCATAAAGGGTCCCAATGACTTGCAGTCCTAATAAAATATTTTTATATCTGACCATTTTTCTGTTTTCTTTTAGGAAAAGTTTTGAAGAAATATAACTTGCCTTCCAGTTCCAAAAGTTCTGGGTAAGAGTTTGGGTGGCATTTATATACTTAGAGCAGATATTTATTCTGTAACATGCACAGCTTTTGAAATACCTAAAAAAGGCAAGGTTTTCTGTTTGGCTTTAGTCATAATAATTCTGCTGCATTCAAAACATTTCATGGAACCATATACTTATGACAATGTCAGTATATTTTTCTGTCTGGCCCACCTAATGGAGTTCATATCACTGTTGCAAATCTGATTGTGTTGTATTTCTTCTCCTTCTTATACTCTTGTGACTCAGGAAGGCCTTTGCCTGAGCCACTTGCAAATTATCTTGTTTCTCTGAACTTAAAAAAAAAAATTCAGCTTCATTTGCCTAGGTTCATGTACATTTCTGTCAAGTTTATCTTACTTTTTACAGTATTCAGTATTGTTAAGGATTGTAAGCCATTTGGCCTCTTTTGTGCTTACTTTGTTCAGCTGGCAAAACTTTAAACCAAATTTATAATGTAAGCAATCTGTTCCACCAATTTATTTCTTTTTAAATTTGCTTTTAGATCTAGTCTAGACATCTCTAGTGTGGCCAATAGAAACTTGCTTTCTGGGCTTATAATTCACTGTTGTTACACCCCACATTCCAGGTTACTGTCTGATCCTGATTCATATTCAGGAAGCTGAATTGCTATTTATTCTTTTCCCCCATGAAGAATAATTTCATGTATTTTCTAATATGATTCATAACTATTATTTCACTAGGAAATACAGATTATAATATCAACCTATTTTTTTAACAGCAAGAAATAGAGAAAAGTCATCCGTGGTCCAACTTTTATCATTTCTTTTCCTTTTAGTATATTTAACTAACTATCACCTTACCTTAATCCACATTATTAAGTTTCCCTGTATTACACTGTTTAAGTTTCTTTTAGTAGTATAATACGTTGCAGAAGATGAGAAGCTTGTTTGCATATGGGTAAGTGTTTTGTACAGTGCAGACTTTAAATTTGCTTGAAATTCCCAGCTTCATTTTCATCACTGTTGATTATTTACTACTAAATATTTGTGATTGTGATATTTGCCATTAAAGTGAGCCAGACTTCTCTTAATCCTAATCCTTACCTTCTGTGCTTGACATTGTGTGGAATTTAGCCAACAATATTTTGGGCTGGGAATTTATAAAAATCAAAGTCCACCAGAACTGGTGGAGAACTAGTATGAGCAAGACCAAATAAGTATTGCTTAGTGTATATTTAATGTTCTATTGCTGTTCGTTATTTCATGGCTTTTATCACAGTTTTAAATGATGAACTCACTGAACTGGTGTTGGTTATTTGACCTTTGAATTTCTGAAATATAAGCAGAGCTTGGTTAACATTACAAAAATCTGTTATTAATTTAATTCATCTTATAAATAGCAGCATGTAGCAAGGGCCACTTTCTGATCTTCTTTAAAAAGGTCTTCTTCTGAAATATTTATGGCAATATGCTAATAATCATCTTTAAAAATGGAGAAAGTATAAAAACTAATGTTGTTCCCCAGCTGCTCATTCCCAAATCACAAGATTTTTACAAGCTGCTTGGTGTTACTTTTTAAATTACTTTTATTTCTTAAAATTTAAAAGGAATGTTCATAAGTTTATAAATGTACCAGTTGACTAGAACATCATGAACATCCCCCCTTCCTTTGCAAATATGCCTGGAATTATTCCCAAAATTAACCAAGCCAAATAGTACCTAGAACAAAATACATTCCATTTATCTCTCCCCTACAACACCCTTATTAACCCTTTCATCATTAGTCAAAGTTGATAGAACCTTAGTATCAAAAAGTATAACCTGTTTAATATTTATTTAAAATGAGTGGTTGCCTTACAGTTTTGCAAAACAGATTCTGATTTTTCTGTAGAGTTGTGTCATTTCCAGGCTCCTTGTTTAAACTGCATTTTTAATGTTTTTAGATGAATTGTCACAAATCATCTGCAGTAGATAAGTTCCAGTTCTTACAAAAACAGATGTATTAGAGTCTGCTTTAATTAGAATTTATTTACTTGTGGGGAGAATATTCTGTGAAAGTCAAAGCCAATTGGGATATTATTGGGACATTATCAATACAGGGACTGTTTTTCTTTCGCTTTTGATCATGATGGCTTCTTTCTTTTAATACTTTTGCAGGTAGAAAGACGCTTCTAGGTTAGGTATTTTTTCCAAGCCTTTCAAATGGAAAAGTTTCCTACATTTTATCCTGGGGGTGGGGGGATAACTCTGATATTTTTCATCTTAATCTAATGGTAGCTTTAAGAAAGTTACCTGATTTATGCTAGTACAACATTTTCATAAATCTTCCAAAGGCTGTCACAGTTGAGATGGACTCAGATGATGATAAGAGAATGGGCAAGAATTCAGAAAAAAAAAAAAGACCAAGAAGAAAGCTTATTTGGTTCGTTGCAGTTAGATCTGTCAAATAGCATGGATTTTGTGGTTGTTGTTGTTTTGTATTTCTGTATATTGGATGAAATCAGGAGGTAAAATGTTATTTAAATTCAGAATTCTCAATGCAAAAATTGTATTGTAAAGATCATTCTTGTACAACTGTTGAACTTGCACTTCTGTGATGCATGCACTGACATGGTTTTATATACAGTACAGAGTTTCCTTACTTCTTAATTATTTGGAGTTTTCATGAAGACCAAATATATTCTTATTGTACCAGGTCTAAATCTACTATTTGTTCAAATGTGGGCATGTGTGCCTCCTCATAATGATGGGGGGGAGGGGGGGAACAAGCTTTTGTTTTCTAATGCTTGAAGATACATGTTGTACTCCAGGATACTATGTGGAATTCACTTCTAGAATAGCACCATATTACATATTGCCTGCAATTTTCTGAAATTCATTAAGAAGCATGATTCAGTAATAATATTCAATTACTTTATTTATCCCTGATAATATTATTTCATTCAAGGGGTCAGTCTACTCTTCTACCTATAGAACAACGGCCAAGCATCTGGGGCGAATGTCCACCCAAATTTGCTACAAAACCCAATCGGGTTATTGTACGAGAAGGACAGACTGGTAAATTTTCCTGTAAGATAACAGGGCGACCTCAGCCTCAGGTCATCTGGTTCAAGGTATAATTGTTTTCACAGCTATTCAGATTTTCTAAAGTTGCTTACAGTATATTTGTATATTCAGAGGATCTTAAATCATGACTCATTTTTCCTTTTCCTATGTATCTAGGAAAAAATAGATCCTTTAATCTTCAGTTTTTCCATTTGCATCAGTAGTAAAATTGTGGTTTGGCATATGGGAATGTATTCTTTTAGAAACATTGAAAAACAGACTTGCATACAATGTGTTCTAACTTTATTCAATTTTTAATTTTTACTTAAGAAGGTTTTTGCAAATAAAAATGATAACAATTTAAAGAAAAAATAAAGTAACAGAAAACTCATAAGTAAATAAAAAAGAAAGGGAAAAATGAAAGATATAAAGGAGTAGCTTCTGATCTTCACAAAAGTTACAAATGCATTTATATTTTATCCCCTTTCTTTCTAAGGCTCATCATGGATCCCGTCTTTCCATATTCTACCCTTTTTAAGCATCAAACCATAAAATACAAATTCATTTTTTTTCCATTTTCAGCACCAAGTACAAAAAGTCTTCAGTTACTAAGAAGAACTAAGTTACTTTTTTCCCTAATCCAGCAAGTCAATGTTGCCATCTCAAAGTGTTCTAATTTTAGTGGTCTGTAATATTTCTGACTTCTGATGATATAAAATTATCAGATAATTTCTTATCTCTATGCAATGAGAAGCTAAATTAAACTTATTAAAATTAACAGTAGTTATCAGAACCATTTGCAAGTGAAAATACTGGTAAAAGAAATCTGTCTCTAAAGATTTTTTGAATGCTGAGGGACTTGGGAGTCAAATGCAAGTCCCTTGAGAATGCGTGTCATAGTTTTGAAGCAATACAAGTGAGGACCAGGCCAAAATTCCATTGGAATGCATTTGGAAAATGAGTGTATATGGAGCTGTGAAGTTACCATTTTCTTGATTACCTTTTCCAGCATTTGAAATGGTCCTATAGTTCCACTGATTCAAATGAGGAGTAAAGATCTTATTGCATCTAAGCAAAAGAGAACATCCTCCCCAGGATGAGGCATCCTTTAATGAGGCCATCCTGCATTGGTTAGTTCTGGTCTCTCCACATACCCTGTCCACATTCCTGGGATCTACAAGCCAATAAATAAATAATATATAAAAACACAAGCACATGCCAAAGTTTCATCTCTGGGATCTGCTCCAATGTCACACTGTAAATAAATTTGATTACCTTGTCCACAAAGAATACTGTAGATTGATCACAATATCGATTATCCCAATGCCTTCTTTTCAACAACTTGGTAGGAAAATATCATACAGTCAGGAAAAGCAGTGCTGGCTAGTTCAGTATAGATGCTTTAGAGAAGAAAGTACTATTTCTATGTCCACTGCAATTGAAGTGAACTTTTCAGGTCGGCCTTGCTTCACTTAATTTGACTATACCTGAGAATTTCTGTGCTCTGCTATAACTGATATCCACTTCATCACTGTTCATTCTCTATTATGTGAAGGGGCTGATGTGGCTCTGTGAGAAGGAAGAGGACGCTTAAGAACAGTAGGGTAGGGTCAACTACCAGCCCACTTCCATTAACGGCATTGCGAATAATGATACAGAAATTTCCCTAAGCATATTCAAGAAACCATTCAAATCCATCGGGTACCTGAATTCAAGTATGGGACCTGAAGTTTATGGATAAACCTCTGGATAAAACTCTTGAGTGTCTAATTTGTCCATGATAATGAAGCCGGGCAAGGCTCCTCAGACTTCAAATCACCAGTTCCACTGAACAGAAAGTGAAATCCAACATATGTCATACTGCAATCACAGGCCAGAAACTTATTAAGATAAATCCGTGATCATCACAAAATGCTTAAAAGATTCTAGTTGATTATGGTTAATTACATCATAGTTGTCTTTAATATCCCCTGGTCAAGAAACCTAGGTTGGTCCAGTGGAGATGCCCCTGAGTAACCCATCTAGCTCAGGAAGAGGAAAAGGTAGCATAGCAGTATGCACTCCAAATTGGCAGAAATTAGGATGGAACATCTTGTCAGCGAGATGGAATTCTTATAGATCGTGATTACACACTCATTGCCCTCCAGTGCTGGCTTGTGTGTGTGGGTGTCTGTAAAATACATAATTTTACTGAATAATTTTTAAAAAGATATAAACTAATAAAAACTAATATAAAGTGAAAAGAAGAGGAGAACAAAAAACAAATCAAGAAAACTAAAAATAGTTTCTAATCTTTACTGGAGTTTTAAGTACAATTATGAATTTACCTCTTTACTCTGGGTAATAGTTCTCTTCTTTCTACATTATGTTTAATCAAAAGTATAAATCATAAGTTCATTTTATTCTGTTTCATGCACAAAGGGGTTTTCAGTCAGCAGTAAATATACTGTCTTTTATCTTTTCAAAGTCAATTGAGCCATCTCTGCAAATTCCATTATCTTCAACCATTCTATCCATCTTTTTGCATAAAATCAGTGCTTTTTTTCTATTAAAAAAAAAAGATGCCGGAATTCACACATGTCATACAACCTTGCTTACCCTATAAGGTTCCATCCAAAAATGGTGCTGGAACTCCATTCTGGACGTTCTATGAGAAAAAAAGCCCTGCATACAATAATCTCATTGCAGTTATCTTATATAAAAACAAAGTTCTTTGCCTTTTTTTCAACTTTTGTCCATCAATCCCAAAAGAAAAACCTCAAGTTTCAATTGTATATTAATCTTTAAAATCCTCTGAACCAGTGTATGTATTTTCTAGCTTTTTACATAAAGTGTATGTAATTCTCTGAAATAGTGTATCAAACTTTCTAGTTTTTTATATGTCCACCAAACATGATAAAATGTCCCTTGTTGCTCACATTTCCAACATAAATTTGAATTGCCTTTAAATATTCTAAGCAATCTCTCTGTTGACATTCACCAGTGGTACCCCATTTTATAAAAATTATATTTAACATTATAATGTAATGTAAATTTCAGTCCTTTCAACCACATATTTTCCATTGTTCCCTCTGCCTGTTTTAATGTTGAGAAGCCCAACAAAAATCTAGGAGAAGTAAACATTTATACATTAACTTCAAGGATGTGGGGCTCAGATGAGTCTTTATTCAAATAAAAATATCTTTTGATCCAGTATTTAGAAGATCCTGACCTGGCTTTCAGAAACTAATTCTATAATGCTCATATTTTGAATATTACTTTGTTTCTGGTATACAGTGGAGTGGTTTATTTTTGAGCAGCATTTTAATATATGAACGTGCAAGGAAAGCACTGCATTGTGAAATAAATAATAAAGCATGAAATTAAATGATATTTTTTTCACTTTTCACGAATACATCTAGACATATCATTTTATTTCTTGATGCATGCAGGATGAAATCCAGGTGCAGAAAAATGATCGTTTTAACATGTTTGAGAAAGCGGGCATCCAGTTTTTGGAAATCCAAAATGTTCAGCTGGCTGATGCTGGAATTTACACTTGTACCTTGATGAATAATGCTGGGAAGGCTTCTGTGACTGCAGAACTCATGGTTCAAGGTATGATTAAAACACTAAAAGGGAAAAAATGCAGACATGCCAACTAAATGTTTTCCAAGAGTTGGGCCAGTTCTTCTTTTATTCTCCAAAACTCTTTCCATCCTCCTGTTTTTACAGAGTGACTCCTAAATTACGGTCCAAACATACAGGTCAGGTTTAATTTTTTTAAAGTTGCATTTTATTTTATCCAGGCTCCTTTCTCTTCTTCCTAGTCACATTTAAAAAATTGAAGACATCTTGGGAGTGAAATCGGTGATGATGATGATGATGATGATGATGATGATGATGATGATGATATTCTTTTTAATTGCTTCTGCTCCCATAAACTAGCACATACTTAAAGGAGTTATGGTTCATAAAAGAGTAAGATTTTCCCATTAATCCTCACCCTAACTATATAAAAATGATTATACAAAAGACTGGCCCAATGTAATCCTATTAACTTCAAAACTGATTCCTGTTTCTGGTGCTACATAATCAGACAATCAAGCTAACAGTAAACAACAGACTAATCAAGGAATTACCAAGACCACTACTGTATAAAATGAGAGCAAATCCCACTCTTCCACAAACTGTAAACTAACTGAGTGTTGATTATTAAAATTGGAATAGAAAGAAGTGGGAATCGAAAGGGAAGAGCAGGCCAATCTGTGATAGGAATAAAAACCCAGAATATTTATTTTGTAATGATAAAAGGTTTGAATCATGATCTCATGTGAGTTTGAGCTTCTCAAATCTGATCAAAACTAAGAAGGTAATTCCTAACTAAGGAGGTTAAGGATGAAAGGCAGCAGTCAACATTGCAGAAGGTCAAGGCACATCAAATAAAATAACATATATCTACAGAGACACTTGATTTCCTTCTCTAGTTAGTTATATGCCAACAATTTAATTAGTGGCTATTGTGTTGTTTCCAGCAAATCCCTGCCATTTTTAATCATGGTAACACTTCAAAGATATTTCATTCTGTTCCCTGATCTCATTCATCCGCCTTACCAATCATCTTCCCATTCTTCTGTACACCTGAACCTTGCCAAGTATAATTGTTTCATCTAGCCTTGATTTGCTCACATCAAATGTCTAAATCACATGAATTTCTGCTTTCTGATCATGCCTCAAAGATGCCATCAGTCTTTAATTCACTCGGGATCAAAAGATAAGTTCCACCTGAACCTCACAGTATTATTCATTATTGAAATATAATCCATGTTTAAAGTAATCAATATTCTTTTTTTCATTATTTCACAAGAAGGAAGGAAGATATAATAGAAATACCTTTATCTTTCATGTTCTTAAGTTTATCATTGCCTTCTTCTCTTTTTGTGGCTAGAAACTACATCTGCTATAAATTGCAATGGTAGCAAAATGATTGTGTATACATGATTTTGGCATCATACAAATGCTGCTATTTTGTACTTGTGTTAAAGTTGTGCCATTTGCATGATGACCTTGTCACACAAGCGCTGTCATTTGAGCAGTTTTCTCCTTCCCTGCAGATATCTATGTTCAGGGACAAGTTAACAGGAGGCCAAGCATTAGGAAGTATAATTCTTCCACCTTAAGGCAAACTGCAATTTGTACTTCAGCTTGAAATGTTAGATTTTATTTTTAATCTTTTGTCATTTCAGGTTCTCTAAAAAGGGATGCATATTCTCAACCTCTTTGGTATGTATTCTCCATTCCTTCCTCTTTTATCTTGGTTTTTAACCTTTTAAAAACAATACAGATAACCAATGATATGTTATTATTGTTGTTTAAGCCTTCAGCTTACCTGCTGCTGTATGACAATAAATTATTTATGTCATTGAATATTTAATATCCAAACATGACATATGGTTGTAGAGGGGCTCCTGTAATACAGTATTTCAGATTTTGAATGGGTGGGGACTATGTAATTAGTAGATCTAAAAAGGCATGTATAGGATTACATCACTTTCAGACGGTGAGTACCATTATGTGATTTTGCCCAATATCAGAGTCCCAAGAAAAAAAAAATAAAGTTAACAATAATCAAAAAATAGAAAAGGAGCCAATCTATTAAGATCTCTACTGGGAAAACTGAAATCTTATGATTTAGTTGACTTCTGAAATTTTGGTTCTTTTTTAAATCTTTTAAACTTTGCAGTGAGGGAGCTGATGCCAATGGTGAACCATTTGTCCATGCATTTGGAATAGAGCTATGCATGTTTCAGAAGTAGTACTTCAGACCTAAAAAGGCACACCACTTTTCTGATCCTCATCAGAGCTTTCTTGGAAGCCTGAAAAAAAGCTGCAGCTGCTTTAACAAACCATTAAAGCAGCAAAAAAAATATGACTCTGAAAGCATCAGCATTTTCTAAGCTTATACAGATGTCTACTAGATACACATTTTTAATGCATAGCTAAGAGGTGCTGTGCTCACTTTTGTGCAAAGTTTATAATGCTTGTTCCTAGTTATTTTTTTACATATGCACAGTCCAAATTTGAAAGCAGAAGGAATAGGTGAAATTGAATAAAATGTGTCTGAATATGATGGATCTGAATTGTATAAGACATTACTTGCTTGGAGTAGAATACCTGAGGTCCTATTCCCTGACTGAATATGTTAGAGAAGTGGAAGGGATGTTAACAGTGACTCTTTGAGAGGGCTAGACACAGCTCCCAACTGTGGCTGATGAAATAGTGATGAGTGGCTATCTAAGGGGTCTTGGACAAGATGATCTTGAAGCACTTACTTTAAAATTTGAAGTGACTCTGCCATTGAATACCATGGCACAGGATGACCTTAAAATGTCTGCCATCATATCTGAAGCTTTAGGGAACACAAGTCAGTAAAGAAAAAAAATTACAAGAACAGCTCTACCTGAGTAGGCAAAAAAGCGCGGTATACTGCTGTAGAGGTTTTCTGTTCCCATTTCTTAAAAAAAATCACCCATTAAACTTATAATGAACTGAATGTTTCATGCCTTTTTTCTGAAATTCCTTTTACTGAAGATACTGAAGAATAAATGTGGAATTTTTATTTGGTTTGCCTCGTAATATATACATTGGCCTTATAAATGGTGGCTTGCCTCATCATTCCCTGATCTTCTTGTTTATACTGAAGTAGCCTGTCAAAATAAAAATCTGTTCCTTTTACATAAAATATGATACACTTTTGATGTGAAACAACGTCATGGAACAGAAATCAAATAATCTGTCTAAAATCTACATTCAAACATTAAGCAAGTGGTTTTTAAGAAGTAAATTTACTTTTACAAATTGTTCTCTTGGCTTAAGAATATGTTTTCCCTTTAGCACATCAGCAAAACCCAGTGCCTCTACAAAATCCACCATTATTACCAAAGCTATTGAAACCTCAGAGTTCAGAAAACCCACTAGCAATGGGGTAGTTAAAGACCTCAAATCTACCACCACAGAGGTTTTGCTAGAATCCAAAGAAAGGCCATTGGTGAAGAGAGAAATTCAGCTTGCTCCACCCAAAGAAGCCAGAGAGAATCAGTTGCAACAAATAATGAAGGAACCCAACAGAGACCCAGCTAAAGAAGACAGGAAAAGCCAACAGGTTCTGCAGAAAACATCAAGCACTATAACTCTTCGCTCTGTGAAAATACAGCCTGGACCAAAGGCAGAATTGAAGGCAGTTTCTTTTGAGCAGGAAGCAAATGGAGAAAAAACAAAGCAATTACTGGCAGCAGATTGGCAGGCTGCTTTTTCTACCAAGTCAAATAATCTGACCTCTGAAGAATTGGAAAATCATGTTGCCTTAAAGAAGAGTGCAGCAGAAATAAAGATTCAGAAAATCCCTCCCCAGTTTGAGTGTCGGCCTCAAAGCCAGGAAGCATTAGAAGGAGAAGAGGTTACATTTAGATGCAGAGGTAAGAAAGCACTTGCTGATTCCTTTCTGGGATGTTTTTAAACAGAAAATGGATGGCCATCTCATCAAAAGTGGTTTTTTGTTTTGTTTTTTACCATTGACAAGGCCTGAGATGTTTCCAGCCAGAGCTTTTACATAACATGGGCAATATGGGTTGGCCTCTTGCTTCCCTTAAGCATAGACAAATAACTACACTTACTGTAACTATAAAGTAAGTGTGATTAGTTTCTATTGTACAGCATTACCACCTCCCATCATGAGGCTTTGTCTTCTGCAAAAAGTAGATGAAGTGCAAGAGGCATAGTACTCAGTCTGCCTAGAAAGGTATACAAGTTCAGCTCTGATGCCCAGCATATTGTTGTCCCCTCTGGAGGAAACCGATGGAAGAGTTGAAAAAAAAATGTTACAATCAGATCACACAGGTCAAAGTGGCTAGATAATGCTCCTGCTTTCAGTTTTAGAATTTGATAATGAAATCCAAAAGACATATTACTATCACATGGGTATGTATGCAGAAGCACGAGGGAATAGAATAGACTGGATTGTGTTACTTTACGCTTCACAGGGAAAATCACGTGCATTACACCCTTTCCATGTTCTCTGTGTGAATGTGACTTCTGAAAGTCCATTCTGAGCCTGGGCAACAAAAGATTAGCTACCGGTTCGGCCAAAATGGTGCGAACTGGCTGAATCCCACCACTGCTTATGACTGTTTTTCACAGTTACATCCTTTGCAGCATCCTCATGATCACATGATCAAAATTCAGACACTTGGCAACTGGTTCATATTTATGATGGTTGCAGTGTCCCGGGGTCATGTGATCCCCTTTTGCAAACTTCTGACAAGCAAAGTCAACGGGGAAGCCAGATTCGCTTAACAACTGGGTTACTAACTTACCAAATGCAGGCAAGAAAGCTCATAAAATGGGGCAAAACTCACTTAACAAATGTTTCACTTAACAACAAAAATGTTGGACTCAATTGTGGTCATAACTCAAGGACTACCTGTATAGAAATCTAGGAGAGTTAGCAGAGAGTTGGTTTAAAATTACGGTTATGTTGTCCTTGTTGTTTTACATGGAGGAATATTCAAAAATATCCTGCTACCACATGACCGCTAGACAGAGATGGCAAATTCACAACAGGAAGATGTTTCAACTGTTTAGAACAATGAGTTCAATGTTTTTATATCATTAACTCTCTTAATTAAATTCAAGCACAGTCTAGTGCAGTGATTCTCAACCTTTCTAATGCCGTGACCCCATAATACAGTTCCCCATGTTGTGGTGACCCCCAAGTGGGTGTGGCCACCAATAAGAGGGAGTAGGACAGCTAGGGAAAAAGGAAAAAAATGGCGGACAGCATGGTTTGGTGACCCCCGTGAAATGGTCATTCGACCCCAAATGGGGTCCCGACCCACAGGTTGAGAACCACTGGTCTAGTGGATTTTGATGTTATATAACAATTTGTTTTAACTTTGAAAATTAAAACTGAATAATAATGTGATATTGCTTTTTCATTTACATCCATTTTTAAAAAAAAATCTGAAGGAAAATTTGGAAAAAATATTTCATTCTGCAGTACTGTCCTGTGGATCTAGTTAAATATTTTTTAAGTCTGCTGATTAAAATCAGTTGGATGAGCCAAGAAAATATTCTGCCTTGATTATTTATTGTAAAAATTTTCAAATTCAACTTCCTCCAAACAACATGTCATATTATAGTTTTGCAACTACTGTAAGATTGTGAGTGTAAATTATGATTGTAAAATTTCAGGAAGAATTTTATTTTTGGTCACTGGCCAATAAAAAATGAACAATACAAATCTAATCTTGATTTGTTGAAAAGTTGAGTAACTTTTTAGCAGTGTGAAAACTATGGTTGCTCATTAAAAGGCAAAGCTAGGAATTGATGGTAGCCAAGAAAGATACTGGGACATTGTGAAATTATAAATTTTAGAGCACAATCCCCATGCTTAATCCACCTGTAATGAACTAGTTTCAGGGAAACCCAAGGCAACTGTTGAATGGTTCAAAGAAGGAGCCCTTCTGGAAACAGGAGACAGCATCCTGATATATGAAGAAGATGGGGTCCATTGTTTGTGCCTGAAAAAAACTCAGCCAGAAGATAGTGGATTTTACTCTTGCAAAGCTTTCAATCCTGGAGGCCAAGCTTCAACCAGTTGGCTATTAACAGTGAAAAGTAAGCATCTTTTAGTTGCAAAGTATGCTTAGGTCCAGGTACGTAATAGTTTCTTCATCTTGAAAAAAAACATACTGTCTTTCGTAGTATAAAACACACTAAATAATGCCAGTACTACATTCTTTTAGATGTGACTCTTTCCCAAGTTTTGGGCTAGGGCAGTGGTAGCGAACCTACGGCATGGGTGCCAGAGGCGGCACTCAGAGCCCTCTGTGTGGGCACGCACGCCATTGCCCCAGTCCTAAGCCTTCAGCTGGGTTTTATAAAACCTTTTCACTTTAGGCCTCCGCCACCGTGTGCAAAAAAAAAAAAAAAGGGTTTAATCAGTCAATTTCAACTTCTCATGGGAAAAAAAGATCTTGCAAAGTTGGAATTGATTGATTGAACTTTTTAGTCCCACCCAGTCTGCCGTTACCATTGCAGCCACGCCCACCCAATTGTCCACACCCACCCAAAAGGCCACACTCACCTGGCACTCAACGATGCATAAGTGGGTTTTGGGTTGCAGTTTGGGCACTCAGTCTCTAAAAGGTTCGCCATCACTGGTCTAGGGTGGATATGAGGTTTTTTTGTGATGTGTTTTATGTCTATTTCACTAGGATGATGATTGTCTTCCTTTTTTGATGTCTGTTTCTGTTCTACTTCTTTGGTTTTAAATTTGTGTGCTGCCTAGATTCACCAAGAAGTAAGCAAATTTAGAAATATGAATGATAAATAATTGATAGATATCAATTTGCATTCTCGTTTTTAGAATGAATTCAGTTCATAGGAATTATTTCTGAAGTTCTTGACTAGGAGCAATTAAATTTTGTTAATTTTGCTCACTAAGTTCCTGCCACATTAGTAAAACATATTTTTTTGTCTTTAAGGATTAATTTTGTCATTGGTCTAGAACAGTGTTTCCCAAACTTGACAATTTTAAGGCATGAGGACTTCAACTCCCAGAATTCCACAGCCAGCAACGCTGGCTGTGGAATTCTGGGAGCTGAAGTCCACATGCCTTAAAATTGTCAAGTTTGGAAAACACTGGTCTAGCATATCTTATTCTGAGACCATCTGTTAGCACTGAGTTTCATTAACTGCCTTTTGCTTTGATCTGTAGGGCCTAAAGTGAAGGAAGTACCTCCCCATTTTCTCCGGGTCTTGAAATCCTGCCACGTGAGTGAAGGGCAAGATTTTACCCTTCGGTGCTCAGTTGAGGGGATACCTGTTCCTCAGGTCATCTGGCTCCTTAACGGTAAGGTCACAGTCAGAAAATTTGTCCCTGCACATGAGTTCCAAATTATCTAAATTTGTCCTCACATTTTACAAATGGACAATTTATTTCATTGTTATGTATGATCTGGAACAGACAAGCAGAGAGAAGAGGTTTGCAATCCTTCGTCTTTTGACAGGAACATGTAAAATATGGGTTTATGTATCACGCTAACCCTTGGTTTGCTAAATTACAATTTATTGAATAAACTGCAGTCAGAGCAGTTTTTACTTCCTACTAAGCCATAAATGATTTGTTACAAACCACAGTGTCTGGTTTCACCAACATTTTAACTAAAATAAAATTTGCCACATAATAGTTTCATCCCAGGCCACTGATTGATTTCGTATGCTCCTCTATGGTTTTCAGGTTCTGAGACTCACTAAAAGGCTACTTTCTTTGACCTGTCAATGAACTTAAGAATGGCTTTGAAGAACTCAGCAGAACAGATTAATTACCTTCATTGCCTTAATATTCTCAGTTACAAGGAGTCCTCATTCAACAACTTTCTTATTTGCAACCAATCCTCACATTTACAATCCTCACGGGACTGTAAAGGAAAGGAAAGCTGAAGTAAGCTCCTAAGCAAAGTCTCAGTTTTCACTGGGCAACGTTTTGCTTAACAATTGAGTTGTGGTTGCTAAACCAGGACTACCTGTATCTTAATTTTTTCTTCTGGGAGAAATCGGATCTACAAGGGAGAAAAGGCAGCAGCTGTGCTGGTCTTTAAAAGCTGTCCAGCAGGGAGCATTAGTGACAAGGCTACATTTCATGTTCCTGGTTCCAGAAAATAGGCTTTATTGCAGTAGAATATAGACTTCCAAGCGATAAGCTTACATTTTGAACAATGTATTAATTACCAACCAAATGAGGTTTGTGCTACATTTTTCTAGTCTTCTCATTTTTTTCTGAAGGTCAAAAATAGTAATTCTTAAGCATTCAGTATTCATGAGAGTGGGATTCTGTTGAAGTTAGGAAAGAAAATCCCCTTTCATGTACGATTCATCTTCAGGCTCTCTGTGAATGAAAGTGAAAAATTAGGAACTATTTGTACTTGTTTTTCCATAGCCATTTGTTCAGCAGGAGTTTCTGCTAGAGGTTACCTGCATGCAACTCTTCATACACATTGCTTTTTTGCAGATAGGTAAAGGTAAAGATGTCCCTGTTGTTTTACTCCACTAGTCATAGTCAGCTTTAGGAGGCAGTGCTAAAGTTATAGTCAACTTTAGGAGGTAGTGCTCATCTCCATTTCTTTAAACCACTGAGCCAGTGCTGTCTGAAGACTTGTGGCCAGCATGACATCATTCTGCAGCGCAAAGCATATGTTGAAACACAGAACATTGTTCCCACCTATTTATCTACTTGAATTTACATGCTTTCAAACAAGAACAGAGGCAAATGATGGGAGTTCACTCTCATGTGGTGCTAGGACTCGAACTGCCATAGTATAGGCCTTCTCTGGCGTCTTTTAAGCCACTGGTAAACTGTGCCTACTAATTTATGCATATTGACCATGGCTTAGTTTTTTGCTGTTACATAGTCGATTCTGGTTCTTCCTCTATTTTGTAATAAAAACAATGGGAATTGATTACTATATGAACTCTAGACAACAGTATAGATAATATAAATTATTGTACTTTACGTTGTTGCTTTGCATTTATTATCATCAAAATGCATTTTTAAAATCTGATTTACAGATGGCAGGGATATATGGAATTCAGAGTTTAGAACAGTGGTTCTCAACCTTTCTAATGCGGCGAGCCATAATACAGTCCCCCATGTTGTGGTGACCCCCAACCACTTATACATCATTGGGTACCAGGGGCATGGCCAAAGAAAAGGGGGGGAAAATGGCGGACAGCCTTGTTTGGCGACCCCCATGAAATGGTCGTTCGACCCCAAATGGGGTCCTGACCCACAGGTTGAGAACCACTGGTTTAGAACGATCGGAGTAATACAGGTATTATATTGACTTACAACCACAATTGAGCCCAAAATTTATATTGTTAAGTGAGGTATTTGTTAAGTAAATTTTGCCCCATTTTATGACTTTTCTTGCCACAGTTGTTAAGTGAATCACTGCAGTGGGGTAAGTTAGCAACATGGTGGTTAAATGAATCTGGCTTCCCCATTGACTTTGCTTGTCAGAAAGTTGCAAAAGGGGATCACATGATCCCAGGACACTGTGACCATCATAAATATGAATCAATTGCCAAGTGTCTGAATTTTGATCACATGACCATGGGGATGCTGCAACGATCATAAGTTTGAAAAATGGTCATAAGTTGTCAGTAAATGAACTGTTGTAAGTCAAGGACTATCTGTATTTAAAGCAATTAAACCCAATATATTTCTTTGTCTGTGAACACCAACATATTAATAGTATTACTGAAGAAGCTATATGGATTTCTATAAAAAGTACAGATTTAAAACCATCCGTTGAGTGACATTCAAAATTACAGGCAGTCCTTGAGGAACGAACCTAATGGAGCCTACCCTTTAGGCTTGGAAGTCAAAAAATTCGTCAAATGAATCAGACTCAATTTTACAAATTTTTAAAATCAAATTCATTGATCAAATCAAATGGATTGTTAAATGAACAAAGATTTGACTTACTATTTCCTCCTATTTGTTAGGAGGAACTAACTAACTCACTGCCTGAACTGAGAGAATTTTGCTGCTGCTGGCAGCTGGGCTGTCTATCAGCTGTTTTCGGTGCAGCCTTCGGCTCTGGAACTAAATTGCCCTCAAGCAGGCTGCAGAACTCTCCATTTGCAACTGCTTAAAAAAAAACATTTGTTGCTAGTCTGTTTTAAAAAAACCCCACTTGCTACTAATTAGCTAAAAGGTTTCCAGCCAGGCACCCAGAGGGAGATGGGGGAAGGGTTTACAGAACTGTTGTTTGCAACAGTAACAGAGATGGAAGTGACCTTGAGGCCATCTGGTCTAACCCACTGCTCTCACAAGAGAGTATTTCTGATAAAAGCTTTCAGTGATGGAGCACCCACAACTTCCGGAGGCAATTTAAATTTAAAACCTACAAACTACAGTAATATATGCTAATCTTCAAAATAAAAGCAAGGAAACACAACATTATAGAATGCTTTCTATAGATGCTGGCTAGCATTTCTACCAGCAAATTTTATCTTTGCAAACTACTGTACTTACAAACATAATAGTTTGCAAAGAACAGTACCTAAAAAGAAGAGCAGTTTCCAACGTGCTTGCAAACAAGCAAACTATAGAGTAACAAAAATTTATTTTAAAATACTCACAGAAGCAATTCTAGCACTCCACTCCCTTGGCGCAGGCTGCAAAAATCATCAGCTCTTGTTTGGCCACGTGACCAGGGACAAAAAAAAACCAAACACCCAACCCTGCCGGCTTCAGGAAATTGCATTCGTAACCCAAACAGCACAGGCAAGTCAGAGACTTCAAATGGTGACTGTTATGTCCCGAGCCTTGCAAACGGGCTCAGGGCGTTTGCAGGCAGTCCCGGGCAGGTGCAAGCTGCCCGGGACCAGACAGGCTGTCGCCAGCGCCTGTGCGCATGCACGGGTGCTGGCGCAGGAAAAGTAACACATTGACCCGGGAACTGCCTATATAAGAGGCTAGGAGCTTTTGGCCGTTGCTGAAGCCTTCACTTGTAAGCTGAACACAGAATAAAAGGAAACCTGAGAACTACAACTGCTTCTCGCGTCTGCTTTTCGCCAAGGACTCAACACTGGCAACGAAGGTGGGATGCCTTACATCGCCTGGAAAGAAAGAGGTGTAAGCTTACCCAAGTGAGTCCTGAGCGGCGGAACGACGGAACGGCGTTGACTCGGCAGCTACCCGCCAATCCAGTGCGCATTCGGGGGTAGACTGGCTGATAGACCGGTCTCCTGAAATGGCAAAGGTTGGAAGGCTTTCAGAGTTCGACATCTCACATCCAGAGCGGTGGGAGTCCTACGTAGCCAGGGTGGAAAATTACCTCAAGGTGAACCAAGTGAGGGAAGATAGCTTGAAGGCTGCCACCCTGCTTTGTGTCTGCGGTCAAGACGCCTTCGAAATCGCAGAGAACCTTGCAGCACCTGTCCCATTAGAGTCTGTCAGCTACGCAGATCTAAAGAAGCTATTGAAGGAGCACTTCCAGCCCAAGATGTCCGTCATCGCATGGCGCCACACCTTCGAGCAGAGGGATCAACGATCCGGAGAGTCGGCCAAAGAATACATCGCCGCATTGAGGAAGGCCGGCCAAGCACTGCGAGTTCAAGGACCTCGAAGAACGACTGAGGGACCGATTCATGTGCGGCTTAAGGCATCGAGATCTACAACAGAGGCTTTTCGCCAAAGAAGAATTGTCCTTCCAAGATGCCTTAAGAGAGGTCACCGCAGAAGAAGCAGCAGGCGGCGCCGTCAAAAACATGCGGCCGATCAGGAACAGTCCAGATGTTGCATCCGTGCACCAAGAGGACATCCAAGGGAACTCCGAGGAGGATTCGGACGAGGAAGTCGACCGTCTCCACCCCACGAAGGAAGGGAATCAGAAAGGAAGCTCTGCAGTTCCCCGCAAGTGCATCGGCTGTGGAGGTCGCCACAGGAGAACCGACTGCAAGTTCCGCTCCGCTATCTGCCGGGCGTGCGGGAAACAAGGACATATTGCAGCTGTGTGTCTGGGCCAACGAAAGTACAACCTCAGGAAGAACTGCGCCTGAAAGGTACCAGGGTCCCCAGCCAGAATAGGGTAGGTTTTTGCGCTTCGCGAAGAAGCATCTTCAGGACAGGCACACACAAGCCCATCAAGAAAAAGCTGTCACTCAAGGTGAAGCTACAAGGGGTTCCATTAACTATGGAACTAGACACGGGGTCTGCCCTTTCAATCATATCCTTACATACATTTAGGAAGATTTGTTCCGGCAGTGGAACTCAGGCTAAATTAAGGCCTTCAGACATTGTGTTAACAGACTTTCAAAATTCGAGAGTGTGTGTTAAGGGGGAGG